ATACACTAGGGCGTCCGTAGTGTAGGATAAGCACTGGTAAAAGGTATCAAGAATAGAGTGTCTTGAGGAAATAGCCGGTGTATGGTTATAGCAAGCCTGGGGGGTAAATTTACCACCCGCTTATGCATGCATTAGGTTAGAAATAGGGGTAAACAACTTGTAACGGTGAAGTACAAGTCCTATGCAGCAAGCAGCAGCCAGCAGCAGCAGCAGCAGCAGCAGCAGCCGCCTGCAGCCAGCAGCCAGCAGCAACCACCAACCAGCAGCCAGCCAGCAGCACCACGCAGCAGCAGCGCAGCATCAAGCCGCAGCAGCAGCAGCACCACCGGCAGCAAGCACCACCGGCAGCAAGCAGCAAGCAGCAGCAGCAAGCAGCAAGCAGCAAGCAGCAGTAGCAGCGGCGTCGTCAGCCGCAACAAGTAGCAAAGCAGCAGCTACAAAAGCGGCAACCAGCGGCAGCAGCAAACAGCAGCAGCAAGCAGCAGAGCGGCAGCAGCAGCAGCACCCTTTACACCAAGCCACCGTTTACACCCAACCAACCACGTTCAACCAACCCCCTACACGGCGCAGCTGGGAGTTGAACCGCGGGGGGGGGGGTTAGCTTGATATATCAATCTTTAAGGCACGCACCACAACATTGCTAAAGCAAAGAAGAACTCAGCTAGCATGCTAGCTTTCGTGATAATGAAATCACGAGCGCAGCGGGTATGCCTGTCCTAGCCTGCAACCCAAAATGAGCTTGCGCGCTACTCTCTTTCTGGGTGTTGCAGGCAAGCTGCAGGCGCTGATTGCGAGAAAGTCGAGGCAGGCTCAGGGGCATCACAAGAGACAAAACAATGATGTAAGGTTTGTTGGAAGTCGATCCAGCTTCTTGCAACTCTAGTGTCTGCAAAAGCTGTAGAAATTAAACAACTTCGGCTGCTGGTGGCATGACAAGGCCTTCAGGCTTTCATCAAGGAGAGGTATGATAGGGAGTCGGTCAGGTCAGATCCAACCGTCCAAGAAGCCATCCAACAAACGACAAGCATCACGCGAGCGCGCTGTCACCACGCACAGAGATACTTTGGACGTTCAATCTTCTGCAGGCCTTCAGAGATCACTATTAGCCTGACACCCACAACCACATTCTAAAGCATGGGAAACTCAGGAAGTCTGGACTGGACTACCTTTCGTAATTGAAGACGTGAGCAGAAAAACAATCAGGAGTTGACACAAGAAGCCATGAGCCATGAGTCATGAAATATATAAGTATACATGAAAAACAAGGGAGAAGTGCGTCAACGCAGCCTGGAAAGATTGAAGAAGCAGTGTGAGGAAGAAGCGATGGAGTAGGGAACGCACCAGCATGATGTCGCTGCAAGATTTGAAACGTCGACGCCAATCTGACCTGCGTCAAGGTGTTGAAGCCTACAGCGACATGCTCTGCTTAGAAAATACCCAACATCTGGAAAGCTGCGCAGTTGTTTTGCCTCAGCGCTTCGCGATCCCCTTCGAGGATCCGCTTGAAAAGCATGCGCTCTACAGCACGCAGCATCCTGCAACCCAAAAGCTGCATGGAAACGCACGCTGTTAAAAGTCCACTGCTACTGCTCTAGCCTGAGTCCTGTGACAGACTGTTCAGCTTTGCTTGCGCGTCTGCCATCACCCTGGTGTAGTCGAAGAAAAGTCTCATGGCAGCATCCCGCATGTTCTCCTTCACGTTTTTCTCAGGATCGTCAATATTTTGCAAGACCTGCTCCTGTACTTCCGCAATGGCAACTTGGCGAGTCCAGGCTGCGGTGGTGACAGCCCAAATTGTACCACCCAGCACGCCCACGGCGCCGGCAATGATCAAACCAATCCCAGTTGAAGCAAGTCCAGTCACAGCAGTAGCTGCATAGACAGAGAGACCGACCCCATAGCCGGCAACAGCACCAGTAGCACCAACTCCAAGGGCAAATGTTCTGTCAAAGGTACCCTCATCACATTGATTGTAGAGTTTGTGCGCTTTTATCTTTTTGAGGTCTTCTGGCGTCATCTGATACTTTCTCATGTCATCTTTGATCTCCTGCTCCACAATGGCTCCTAGCTGTTCGCACAAACGCATGCTCAAACCATTCTCTTCGTCCTGCAGTTTTTTTTGCAGAAACTCCAGGTATGAATTGCGCTTGAAGAAGGTCTCCTGCCCCTCCTTGCTCTTGTCCGCATCCTGCAAGAAGTCTGCAACCACCTGGGGCACGCCAGCCTCCAAGAAGTCCGTAAGTTTGTTGTCCAGCGCCTCCAAAAACCTCAGGGGTTCTTTGGTACTGAGCTCTAGCATGAACTTCACTTGGTCATCAAAGAGTGTGACTTCGCTCTCATCAGCAACGTCATCAAAAAGCTTTGCATGACTATCCAAGATGAGCACAGGCACTGCCGCCGTACCACCAAGCCATTTGTGCTTCTTAGGATCGTTCATTTCTTTGTTGAGACCTGTAGAAAGCTCTTCTCTCCACCTTAGAACAGTCGCAGTTCTCCATTTGTCATCTGGCTGCTTTGGGACCTCTCTACCTGCATCCTTTTCATGCATCTTCAGCCCTCTGTCGTCAAGGGGGTGTTTCGTCAATACGAAAATGACACGGCTGAGTGCCTGATCGCCAAAAACGCGTTGCAGGAAACCTACCACCCTTTGGCACATCTCGTCATAGCGAACACCCGCTGAGCACAGAAGAATGGCTGATGGAGCACCGCGTCTTTTAAACTGTTCATAGAGCATCACGCCTATCTCAGCGTCTTTGCCATCAGGGTCTGCGAAACCTCCCGAGTCCATGACTTTCAAGTGATCCTTTTCCACCACTCTGGGTTCTTTTTCTCCTGCCTTGGCGTCCTTGGAGACACCAAAGGCTTCTTTGTCGGCCACCAGTGCATTGAGCAGGGATGATTTTCCGACGCCCGAGCTGCCCATAGTCAGGATAAAAGGTTTCTGAGCCATAGCTTGGCCGAGTTGGGTGGACAGGAGACCTTTCAGGCTTCACACTTGAGCAGCACACAGCTGATACGAAGCAACCTAAATAAACTTGGCAACATGTTTGAACAGCCACCTTACTTCGAGCGATCCCCACCCCAAGAGGCAAACAGTTTGTGGAATTACGAAGTAAGCCACAAACACGAATTGTCAAACAGTCAATGGCTCAAACCTTTCCAGTTCGCGGCGATTAATTCGGACCTTTTGGTTTGTTTCAGCTCTTGGTTCAAGGTCAACGGGCTGCGTGTAAATTGCGACGGAAACCGGTGTTTTTTGCGACGGTAGGCCGAAATGTTTTTCAAAAGTGATCGTGGAGTTCGTTGCGCGCTCAAAAGTTCAAGGAGTGTTTTTTGCGACGACGTGTTTTTTGCAACAATTGTTTTTTTTGCCACGGTGTTATTGTTTTGGTTGGACCAGCCACCAAGGAGTGGGAAACACGAAATGTTTGGTGTGATGGTGTGTTTTTTGCGACGGTGTGTTTTTTGCGACGGTGTGTTTTTTGCGAAGGTGTGTGTTTCAGCGACGCAGTGTTTGTTGCACATATATGGTCGTGTATTTTGCAACGGGTACGGGTGTTGTTAGCTTCGGTGGCAGGGTGTTTTTTTGTGACACTGTGTTTGTTGCGCAGGTCAGTGGGTGTTTTTTGCGTCGATCAAAAGTGTTTCTTGCACAGTGAAAGTGTGTTTTTGCGTCGCAGAGGGTTTTTTTGCGACAGAGAGCAGGGTTTATAGCAACATCGGCTTGGACTCATTGCACGACTGTGGTGGATAAGAATGGCAAGGTGTTTTTTGCGCCGGTCCTAGCTTCAAGGTGTTTGTTGCACCGATCCTAGCTTGAAGGTGTTTTTTGCGCCCCCTGCGTGCGCTGCCGCTCGCTTCACGCACAAAGCCGTAGCTTCCTTTGGGACCGCCACTTTTGCCAGCGCTCGCCTCCCCTACATGTACAAAGATTTTTCGTCAGGGACGCCTTTGATGGGGGCTCGCTTCGCGAGCCCCGCGGGGGAGGCGCTGCCCCCTCCCCCGCACCCCCTCCCGCTTTTTCTAAGGCTCACCCCCTGCATGGATCGGCGCAAAAAACACCTTGAAGCTAGGGCCGGCGCAAAAAACACCTAAAGCTAGGACGGGCGCAAAAAAAACACTTTGGAGGTGCAAAAAACACACTGTCGCAAAAAAAACGCCCTGGAGCTAGGACCGGCGCAAAAAACACACTGTCGCAAAAAACACACAAGTAGGAATAACACTACTGTTTGTAATTACGCGGAAAGAATCGACGCAAAAAACACCTCAAGTTTGGACAAGCGCAAAAAACACACTAGACAAGTAGGAATAACACTACTGTTTGGAATTACACTGGTTTCCGTCGCAATTAACACACGTCCCGACAAGATGGGCTAGCATAGCTCCCAAAGATGCCCAGATAGCCCCCAAGATACGCCAACATCGACCCAAGCTGGGCCAACAAAGCAACAACAACAACAACAACAACAACAACAACAACAACAACCACAACCACCACCACCACAACCACCACAACCACAACCACAACAACAACAACCACAACAACAACCACAACAACCACAACAACAACCACCACCACGACAACAACAACAACAAGCACAAGCACAAGCACAACCACACCACCACCACCACCACCACCACCAACAACAACAACAACACCAACAACGACAACGACAACAACAAGCACAAGCACAACCACAACCACAACCACCTACAGCCACTACATCCACCGCGACCCTACTCCCCGCCCGCGTCGCTCCCGAGGTGGGTCTACATAGCCCAAGCTGGTGCCAACATCACCCCAACCACAACCACAACCACCACCACAACCACTACAACCACAGCGACGACACCTACAACAACCAGGCAAGCGCGACAACCCAACTGCCACCTTCACGTTCGCAACGACAACGACAACGATAACTGCCGCCGGGCTAGCGTTTACCACGACTCCCACGACCCCACCTACAAACGCTACGGCGAGTCACACGTGTACTGGCGTCTTCGCGCGCCCACGGCGGCACGGCGGCCACCGGACCTGATCTGTGCCTTGGAAGCAAAATGCTTGCCTTTTGCGATTCTTGCAGAACCGACAGCTGAGCCAACCAGCCTGGCGTTGGGATAAGCACAACCCCATGCCAATGAAATTCGCTGTTTCTGCTTCCGTCAGGCCATCATACCAAGGCTGCGGAGCCGCTGCCAAGATGCCCTGAAACTTGCCCTCCGTCAGCTCTTCCGGCGCCTCCTCTTCTGCGGTGCTGGCCACGACCTCTCCTGCTTGGGCTCTATCGCCGCTGCTGCTGGCCACGACCTCGCACTTGGCCCCTGCGCAAGGCTGCGTCAGACAGGTGGGCTCTTCTTTCCGCAATCCAAACTCCTAGTTAACAGTGGTCTACGACCTTCCTATCTCCACATCCCATCTCCTAGGCTATGTTGGTTTAACACCGTACTGATCTTACCTTGGCCACTTAGCTTTACTCATGTTTCTATTGCCTACCTGCCGATGTTTTCTTCCAAAACCGTTCCACTGACCCGTCTTAAGAAAAAACAACAAACAAGCCAGCGCCATCCTAAATGGATATTTCAAATGTAAATGGATATTTCAATCTTGTTAGTGTACATACTTATCATACAGGTCATACATGTCATGATTTATGGTTCAAGCTGGCGCGCACTGGCCCACAGCTACTGTCATAAGCAACCAGGCAGTCTGTGCAGCCACTGGTTCAAGCTGGCGCGCACTGGCCCACAGCTACTGTCATAAGCAACCAGTGAGTCTGTGCAGCCATGGAGGCGGGCACTTTACTGCAAGCTTTGGCCATCCATTCCAGAGGCTGTTGGGAAGTTGTGTGGCTCAGATGATATCACATGATGCAACACAAGTAATATATGATACCACACATGTCACATATAATGCAACACATGTCATATATGATACCACACATGTCACACATAAT